TGGAGTGGTATTTTAGGTCATGGCAACTGTCCTCATAGCTTTTAATTAGTCATCCACTAGTGTCTGCCATTTGGAATGCTTATTTTTTGCTCTTGGAGAATTTCTAGAAGTCAGCAAAGGAAAGGGGGCAAATCATTTATAGACATGCTTAACTGATCCAAAATGAGACCAAAATTAGTGTTCACAGTACTTTTAACCCAGGTGTGTAGATTAAACAAACTATTAAATTAGACATGCAGGGAGAGCCAAAAGTAAATTCTCCAGAAAAGACCTGCCTCACAGATAGGATAAAAATTATGTAGAAGCTAGAGCACTCACACTGGAAGGGCACTTGTCTTGATGCCAGAAAGGACTTTCCAGAAAAGATAAAAGTCTTTTACCATCCCAGGAGGGAGGTAGCAGACTTGTAACAGAAACAAATCCTCTATAAAGTGAAAAACATTTCACCAAAGAGAGGGAGTCTGAAAATCCTACTGGAGATTCACCAGGCTGAAAAAGGCAACTCATGAAGATGGAGAGCACAAAGGACAAGGTCAGTATCACATTCAGTTTCCGGGGCCGCTGATTCTTCTCAAGTGAGCTTGCCTCATGCCACTTCTGACACCATCTATGTCAACCTAAATAACAAACGGCGTGAGGCCCTCTAAAAAAATGATATTTATTTGGTAATAAGGAATTGTAATGGGAATACATGTGAGATAGTAAATGATGTGCATATTCAGGGACTTGAAGGAAGATGAAGGTTTTCAAAGGAAAAATGAGGAGGATTACATAATTGTTTTGAGATAATTATCCTTCAGTAACAGGATCAGTAACAGGGGTGCTGCCAGTTTGGGGCTGGACAGTCGTTGAGCAGATTTCCTGGCAGATGTATTTTTTTGGTATAAGGCTGTGATGGTCTTTGTGCAAGGTTGTGGTGTTTGAAGGTTGTTGTCTTTTGTAATAGTTTTTGTTATCAGACATATACATGAGAACTCTCTCAACAGCTTTTTTTTTTTTTTTTTGATGGAGTCTCCCTCTATCTGTCTCCCAGGCTGGCGTGCAGTGGCGTGATCTTGGCTCACTGCAACTTCCACCTCCCAGGTTCAAGCAATTATCCTGCCTCAGCCTCCTGAGTAGCTGGGATTATAGGTGCACACCACCATGACTGGCTCATTTTTGTATTTTTTTTTTTAAGTAGAGACAGGGTTTTATCACATTGGCCAGGCTGGTCTCGAACTCCTGACGTCAAACGATCCACCCGCCTCAGCCTCTCAAAGTGCTGGGATTACAGATGTGAGTCACCGTGCCTGGCTAGAAGTGACTGTTTTAATTCAAAAGACACTCAAAAAAATAATGCCTTCCAATATTTGGCAACAAACATAAACCTTCGGATTCAAGAAGCCAAGCAAATTCCAAACCATCGGTTTGCTTGGCTTCTTGAATCCGAAGGTTTATGTTTGTTGCCAAATATTGGAAGGCATTATTTTTTTGAGTGCTTCTTTTCTGAAGCTGGAGTGTGGTGGTGCAATCAAAGGTCACTGTAGCCTGGACCTCCTGGGCTCAGGCAATTCTGCCACCTCAGCCTCTTGAGTAGCTAGGACTACAGGCACATACCACCGCGCCCAGCTAATTTTAAATTTTTTTGTAGACATAGGGTCATACTATGTTGCCCAGGCTGGTCTTGAGCTCTTGGACTCAGGCAGTTCCTACCTCAGCCTTCCAAAGTGTTAGGATTACAGGCATGAACCACTGTACCCGACCATGAGTATTTTCTTAGCCTCCCTCTTTTTCCCTCTACTTTGTTGACACAAATGTTAGATCTTTTGTTATGATCACGCAGCTCTCCGAGATGCTGTTCATTGTTGTTCAGATTGGGTAATTTCTGTTGTTCTGTTTCCCAGTTTCTGGTGCATTCTTTCCTTTCCCTCCCACTCTACTCTTAAGCCCATCCACTGAGCTTTTTGTTTTGGTTACTGTATTTTTTTAGTTCTAAAATTTCCAATAGGCTCTTTATATTGTTTTATTTCTTTGCTCAGATTTTTTCATTTGCTTCAAGTGTGTTTATAATTACTCGTTGAAACATTTTTATCATGGCTGCTTTAAAATATTTGTCGGATAATTTTAGTATCTGTGCCATCTTGGTGTTGATATCTTTTTTTTTTCTTTTTTTTTTTTTGAGATGGAGTCTTGCTCTGTCACCCAGGCTGGAGTGCAATGGTGCAACCTCCGCCTCCCGGCTCAAGCCATTCTCCTGCCTCGGGCTTCTGAGTAGCTGGGACGACAGGTGTGTGCCACCACACCCGGCTAAGTGTTGATATCTATTGATTGCCTTTTAAGTTCAGATTGAGGTTTTTCTGGATCTTGGTATGACAAGTGATTTTCTGTTGAAACTTGGACATTTCTGTTTCTCATTCTTATTTAAACCTCTTTTAGCTGACTTTGACATCACTCTAGCAAGGGAAAACAACATATTACTGCCAGGTTGGGGTCAAAGTCCAGCTTCCCCACCTGGCCTCCACTGACACCTGAGGTGGGGGGCTGCTTGTTACTGCTGGGGTACGGTGGGGCTCCTGGCTGCCCCTGTAGTTTCCACTGACTCCAAGGCAGGAACAGCATGGAAACCCCTGGGTGCTGGTGAACGTTCTGTCTCCCCACCAGGCCCCTCTGACGCCACAAGAGAGATTGCTGGGCGCCTCATTATAGCTTTGCAAGGGCAGAGGTCAGGGCCTTTGCTGGTCTGAGTGGGACCCCATTTTTTCTGTGGTGCTTGGCTGGGGTAGAGAGCAGTTATGTATTGTCTAAATTTTCTGTCTTGCTAAGCTGCTCCTTTCCTGGTCCTCTGGCTGGAAAGAAAAGGCTTTGTCTGTGCCCACTGGTGTTTCCACTGGGGGTTTTAATTGTACTTAGTGGGAAGAACAGGGAAAAGAGCATCTACTGATCTTCCGAGACACAGGCGCTGTCAGGTTGTCCTTGTTACATGTGGTGCACACGTTAGGTTTCAGTTGTTTTTTTCTTAAGGGTGCATTTTGCTATGCAGAAATATTTGGTTTTTATATAGTCAAATATATTAATCCTTTTTAAAAAAAAGGATTAAGGGTTTTATAACATGTTTGGAAAGGCCTTTCTCATACCAAGCTTATGAAAAGAAACCTCCCTTTTCTCTTAGCTTTGAGGTGTTTTTTACATTTAAATATGTGAGCCGTCTGGAATTTCTTCTGGTGTAAGTGGGAACAGGAATCTCCCTGCACCAGTGCCCCCTGGCTACCCAATTGTCCCAGCTCCATTTTACGGAGTAATAAATGTTTTATGGTGTTAGGAAAATTCTATTTGGTAAATGGTTGTTTATAATAGTGTTCCTAACAGCTGAGTTCTGACAAAAGTGGTCTCAAAGTCCTAGAGGCTGCACGGGGGAGGCGATGGTTCAAACCTTAGCTCTCCATGGTTGTTAGTTGCTGACAGCGGGTACAGTGTGAGCTCCAGGCTGGACAGTATGACACAGTAGCCGGTCAGCCTGTCCCTGTCTGGGACTTGGAAACCCTCTAGGTTCAGGAAGCCAGGGGCGGCCATGGCTGACTAGAGAGTGTTTTGAGCTGCCTTGGAAAGTGCTCCAGCTTGAAAGTTCTTCCTCCTCCGTGGCCAGGTCATTCATTGCTGAGGGGTGATCTACCCCAATCTTCAATAGTAACGCCCCAGCTGCCTGGGTGCCTGAGCATCTGTGAAGGGGAGGCCCATGGGGATGTGGAGGAGTGTTAACAGAAATGAACCCTTGAAGGGGGAGAGAGCAGTGGGTGGAAGAGGCCGGGGTTTCTGCCTCACACAGAAGCAGAACGTGTAAGGTGGCACCAGAAGAAATGATAGCGGCGATGTGTCCTGGTGCCCTGCTGATGCTAGTTGTGACCCAGCCTCTCTTCTGGCTGTCAAGTTTCTTCTGCTAAGGAAAGAGTGCCATAGCCAGGGAGCCAAGGGATGTAGGGATGAAGAACCCCCTCAGTCTGGAATGTGAGGCCCTCCCCCACTGGGCCTCAGTGGACTTTTCCAACCCAATGCAGTATGGCCTACAAAGCCCTAATTGGGAGTAACAAACTGGGATTTGGCTCCCTCTCTGCCATTCACTGGTAGGCTGGCTAGGAGAAAATCATTCCCCATGTCTGCACCTTGTTTTCTTTACAAATAATACTGGGTACTGAACTAGGTAAGTGATTTTCTTTACGGCCCTTTTAAGAAATGGAAGACTCCACAGAAATTCAGGTATAAAAGCATTCAGTGCTGGGCAGCCAGGGTTGAAGCAGGTCTAGGCACAGGGGCTCTGGCAGCTGGAGCCACTGGACCAGATGGGGCTCAGGTCCCTCCGCGGGCCCTGGGCCCTACTGTATGAATAGAGGTGATAATAGAGTGGGGCTAATGAGACAATTGTCTGGAAAGTGAGCAGAGCAGGAACACAGGTATCCCATCAATGAAGGGGCTGCAGGACTGCTTGTTCCTTCCCAAATTCTCGCCTTTCAGTACAGCTCAGCGCCCCCTCCATCCTCTCCCTGCCACCAGCCCTCTGGGTACACTTTGCCTCTGCATCCTTACCACAGCATGGCTTCGGGCTGGTAGCTAGTGTTTATGTCTAAAACTTAACCTCCGCAATCCAAGCAAGTTCCGGGAGACCACTTTCTTTCACAGCTCTGGATCCCCCAGGCTGCCTGGGAGGCAGACATTCAATTTATGTCTGTGGGTGGACAAGCCCAGCCCGGATGCAGGAGAGATGCCTCTGCAGCAGTAATAGAACAGGCCCTGGCGTGGTGTTCACGGCACGACGTTCTTCAGGAGGGAAGGTGAATCGTGGGCTCCTGCACCTCACAGGGCATCTGTAACTGTCAGAGAGCGCGAGACACAAAGCCGAACGGCCAAGCTGTCATCTCAGCCCAACAGCGCAGGAGGCGAATCACCGACCCTCAGCCTGCGTCTTGCCTGTGCCCGCGCCTCTGCCAGAAAACAGTCAAGACGCTTTCCAATTCAAAGACTCAGAAGAATAAGGCTGGGTTCATGTCGCTTCTCATTTATTAATTCAGTCTGTTCTAAGTTGTACAGTTATGAAAATAACAAAACCAAAGCTGGAAGCCCGGGAATATTTACACTCTCTTGTGGGTAGTGAGGTCAGTCTATGTTGTTGCACAGATTGGTTATGTTTGGTACCTCAAAATGTTTATAATTCAGACAAAATCAGACAGATTAACAATTATATGTACAGTAAAACAAAAGGGGAAGTCATTCAAGTATCAAAATACAGAGGCAAAGATTAAATAACAAACATTTTTATTACAACTCAGTCCATTGCCGCGCCATGAGCAACAACACTTGTGAGCTGCTTTCTGCCGGCCTGGGCATTCAAAGACAGACCACGTTCAGACTGGTTTTCTAACGTCTCGATGACTGCAGCGCTGCCTGCTGCCTGCTCAAACCCCAGCGCCTCTGGAACTCCCACTAGTGTCTGTCGCCGGAGGGCCCAGGAGGGACGCGGAGCACTGCACACGCAGAGCCTGTTGGGAAGGTCCTATGCGAGGAGGAGCTGGTGGACAAGGGAGAAGAGGTGGACAAGGAGCCTGTGGCCGGGACAGGTACTGTCAGAGCCCATCTGAAGTCTCCCACCTGAATGGGCTCCTTCACAGTTCAGAAATGCAGTGACAGGGTCTGCCCCTCGTGTGACCTGCACTGGGAGAAGTGCAAAAGCAGGGACCTTCCCACTTGAAGCCTGTCCTTAAAGTTACAATAACCTTTCTAAGAAAGGGAGACTACCGGCCCCAGAGGAGAAGGAAGGAAGGAAGGAAAGGAAGGGAGGAAAGGGAAGGAAGGAAAGGAAGGGAGGAAAGGGAAGGAAGGGAGGAAGGGAGGGAGGGAGGGTGGGAAGAAGGGAAGGAGGGAGGACCCAGTCATTTTCCTTTCTTGAATGTTCAGAAATAAACCAATCTCTAAACAAAACCCAGAGCCAGAGCAGACTAGCCAAGGCTTCCAATATGAAAATACCCTGAATAAATAAAGATATAGCAGCTTCAAGCGGAAGAAACACCTATGGATGATCTAAGCACAAAAGACAGCTTGAGGAGTGCATCGTAGTGTCTGCAGTTTCTTTCGGACCTACCACCCCTGACAGAGGCCCACTTAGACGTGGCCTGGCCCCTCAGGAGGAAGAGATGGGAGCCACCACACGCACAGCAGCAGCACAGTCTACTCCGGATGGTTTAGGGTTCCTGGTCAACCCCTGGAAGAAAGTTGGGGCCGAGTACTGTACGGCATGAGCTCATGGGAATCCTCACAGCCCCTGAAAGGAGCAGGAAATGAAGTAAAATTGCAAGGTGTTGAGGTCTTCATTTAGTACCGAGAAGTGGAGGAGGGTCTGCCTCTGCTGCAGAGGGAGCTGGGTCCCAGGCCCCACTCTGTTGAGTGCTCAGCAGACAGAAACTCACAAGGCCCGGCTTCAAGCCAGCCAGAGACACAGCCCCACTTCTGGCCAACCACACGGGTTGAGAATGTGCCCAAGAGCAATGCCTGCACATACACAGCAACAAAGAATTTAAATTCACAGCCTTTGCTGGGAAAGAGGAGTGTTGCTGAAGCCTGGACTATTCCTCCTGGGACCAGAATGACCCATGCCAGGAAAGCTCGGAGCCTGCTAAAGTGCCCATGGGAGGAACTGGGCATGCAACCGAGTCAGCTTTGCCTCTCAACCCCACAGGGCTTTCCCCTGCGTTTCTACTCTAGTCCAGAAGGAAGAATGCAACCCAAGTTACTTTTAAAAGCAAAGCAAGCCAGTGGGAAAGCTTAAGCAGCAGTGGCGCATCAGGATGCCAGCCTGCCCCAGAGGCCATGCTGGGGAGCATAAATGCACTGTCACCTTATATAGCCATTTCCACACCGGGGGTCAGGGATGAGCCCAGCAGCCGAGCATGTAACTGTCAAACCAATAATTCAGAGAATCAGAATGTGCCCCAGTCACACAGGCTGATTAGACAAATCACAAATTGGGAAGTAGCAACCTTAGCTGACCTACCCCAAATATTAATGCCCCAAACAAAGCTGCTTTTCCTGTTCTTTGATGCACTACAGGCAGTACGGCACCCGCCAGCCTGTGGCCGGCCAGCCCAGGGCAGTCCTCCAGTCACTGACAGGTGAGAGGCCTGGCACTCTGGCACTGGCTAAGACTTCCCAGCACCAGAAACTGCACACTTATCTTCATTTGGCCACTGAACCTTCCCATCAGGAACCCCAGAAACAGACCAGAGACCTTTGTTTTGCCCAGGTGCCTTTAAGGCTGTGTTCTTGCGAGAAGCCTGTGTCCAGCCTCTGACGGGGACAGGAAGTTGGGCAGTTCATAAAGAGCAGCAGCTGACATGGTTGGGTTTGAAAAGCAGACTCACTCTACTCAATTCTGCCGGAGCCTGCTCCGTTCCCCTCACCCACAGGCCACCACCTTCTCTTCAGACCCACCCAGATCCTGCACCCAGATCCCATCCTGAGGACAGAGACTGTGCAGACTGTCCTCTGCCCAATGGCCATTTGTCTAAAGATTGGCAGTATGACCTAGAGGTTTGAGCCAAGTGTTAAAAGTTCATTTTATAAAAAGATTTTTTTTTCAATTAAAAACAATGTGTTCTGAACAAGTCACTTTCTTGACCCTCTGGAATGCCAGTCCCATCTGCTAGCGGCCTGGAGTGCTTCTCCGCAGCCAAGGCAGGGCTCACTCTGCAAGACGCGGTGGTGGGAGGCCCAGGCCAAGTGGCCAAGAGGACGTCCTGCAGGCGAAGGTGAGGCCTGGGTCTTCAAAGCTGCAGGTGAGGCGGCGGCAGCGGCGGTGGGAGCCTGTGCCCCCACGTCTATGTTTCCGCAGCACAGTGTGGTTCCTCAGTGGCTCAGCTTGGCAGAAGCAAACAATGGGGGGAGGAAAGGGTTAACCAATGGGGCCTGCGGACGGTGGAGGAAATGGAAAGGAAACAAAGCAGGACAGAAGATCCCTCACAGCCTCCCCAGGTGCCCTCCACGCCTGCTCAGACACCCACAGCCCGCAGCCCCCAGCCACCTCTGGCTCAGCGAGTCTGCTCAGGAAGGCACAAGGATGGGCGGGTGCGCAGGACCCACCCCATTTATCAACTTGGGTTTTGACTGTCGTGGCCGACCGGCTTTCCTAGTGGACTCTGCTACGTGTGCACGGCTGCCTACGGCACCGCTTCCTTCCTGTCTCCTGCCATCCAAACTGATTTGCCCACACTGGAGAACGCGGGGCCTCTTCAGAGACTCAGCTCCACCATCCCAGCTGCTGAGCTGCTGTGAGGGGACAGCCTCTCCTCTCGGAGGAGTCAGGAGGCTGAGGAAGGCAGTCAGGGGTGCACTGGACGGCGCGGACTATCTGCGATCCCCCACTGTGAAGCATGTCAGAAAACTCCTGGAGGACATGGAGGCCACTCGGTGTGGGCCCGTCCTCCAGCGGCTCTGTTCTGTGAGGGAAGAAGGTGTGCCGTGCACGCAGGGCACAGGCTGCCTCCTCGCTGGTCCTTCGGAAGACCTTCCTCCTCAGTGAGCTAGACTCCAGTGCCAGGCCCAAGGCTTCCAGGCCTTGAGACTCCGTGGCGAAGATACGAGGGGCCACCCACACATGTGCCACCTCGCTCCTTGGAGGGGAAGGCTCATCAGGACTGAGGCACCTGCTGTGTGAGCCAGCCTGTGAGTGTTCAGATACCCAGAGCCCCAAGCGGGACAGTCAGCACAGGCCCAAGGGCCTGGTGCATTATCTTGGGCCCTGACAGAAAGCAGTCTGTCCCTGGTCAAGCCACATCACTGAGCTCAAGGTCTCACAAGGGCATGGCCATGAGAGTGAGGCCAGCACCTCAGAGCAGTGGAGGACAGCAGGGCGGGGCTGCAGGCCGGCTGTGAGCAGAGTGCTGGGGATTCTGGCACTGGGTGGTCACAGTGGTTGGTTGTTTCAGGAGAGGTGAGGACAGTCAGCTCTTGGCAGCGGTGCCCAGCTGTGGCTCAGTACAGCAGGCAGAAGGAGGGCGCCGCACAGAGCCCAGCCCAACCCCGGGGAGCTATCAGTGCCACTGGGATTCTGCTGGAGACCACCCTGCCCGTCAGGGTTCACAGTGCCTGCCTGTGGAGGCTTCTGGGGTGCAACAGGCCCCTGGAGCCCTCTTGGTGCCCACCTCAAAGGCAACTCACCCCCCCAAGCTGTCCTCAGCCCAAGGGGGAGAATTCACAGTGTTCAGTGGTGGTAGGTGCGAGAGCTGCGAGGGTACAGCGTCTACGCTGCTGCCTGCCCAGGAGGAGCAGGTCCCAGTGCAGGCGGGGCCGTGGCTTCAGCAGCTGGAAGGAGAGAGTTGAGGACAGCAGAAAGATCGGATGGCAAAGGCACAGTGAGACTAGTGGAGACAGGGAGTGGGTTGTTTAGAAGATAGTGGTCTCATACTTGGTGCTGAGGCTCCGCTTAGAGTCTGGTTTGGGGTCCACAACCCAGGAGACACTGGCATGGGATTGGGCATCTTGGTCCATATCAGGTGGTTCCAGCTGCCGAACAAGGAAGCGGTCAAGAGTCAGAGGGAGCTCTGTGCCAGGGCCGGAGGCAGCAGGCCCCGAGGGCTCCTCCCACCCCGCTCCAGGCTGGGCTGTGGCCCCTGTGCTGGGAGCGGCAGCCCTTATTCTCCTCAGCCAAAGAGCAGGCCCCTCCTGGAGAATCTTGGGGAGAGCCATCTCCAGGCACAACTTCTCTTAGGGATTTCTTGGGATTGCTCAGTTAAAGGACCCCTGTCCTACCCAGGCCTCCTGCTGTAAGCCAGAAACCTGCTCACATTGGGCAGGAAGGGGATGTGGGGCTTTGAAATGCCAAGCCTCAGGTCCCTCTGCTAGGACCAGAGAGCTCACCCCAAGGCAAGACCACCATAGTCACCCCAGACCTCTGGAGAGAGGACACACAGCAGAAAAACAGAGAGGGCTGAAGCACACACAGGACAGGCAGGGGGCATCTCAGGAAGAGGGGAAAGAATGTCACACAGGCAGAGGGAGAGGCCACCAGAGGCTGAGAGCGCTCACGGTCACTTCAGGGAGACTGACACACAAGAGAGCAGGAGGCATAAAGACCTTGACTCCGGGACTAACAGACGGCAGCGGTAGGTAGGAAGGACGGTGGGTGGAGCAGGTGTGACAGTAACAACAGCGACTATCGGGGGGCAGCGGCACCTGGGGTGCAGAGCAAAGCAGACACAGACACAGGGATGGCGCAGTTACTGGGGGCTGCCTGCCGGCCGCTCTCTGCAGCCCCTTGATGGCCTTGCCCTTGAGGGAGCCCAGCAAGGGAGGGGAGTGGGAGTGCCAGAGGCCTGCCCAGGCCAGAGGAGCTGCTGCCTTTCCAGGGCAAGACCCAGCAGGGTGGGGGGCAATTAAGAGGGTCATTTTCCTGGGGGGCTAGCTTTCTGAAAGTGCCAGAAGACCCTTGTCGTGCTGGCCACCCCAAGCCTTTGAATCCCTGGGGCCAGGGGGGGCGGTCTTGGCTAGTGGGGGACCCACGTACTGCGGATTTCCTCATGCCGACCCGAGGCTTAGGCACCGGTTTGGAAGATTTTGTTTCAATCATCTCAGCTGCAGAGGCGCCCATTGGCCTGGACTTCTGGGCCTGCAGGGCCAACTGGTAGGCCACCTCAAAGGCCTGCCCCAGCGTCAGGATGATCTCGTAGGTCAGGTTCTGGGAGGAAGCAGATCACCACTTAAGCGCCTGGTTCGGGAGCTGATTCACCCACTCCTGCCCTGTCCTCGCCCTCACCCTGAGCACACAGGTGGCATCTGGGGTAAGAAGAGAACACTGGTTTCGAAAAGACACAATTTGATCATAACACACCATTTCCTTCTGGAAGATTTCATCTGATAGAAACACTAGGCAAATGCAAAAACTGCTGCCAGCTGAACCAAGCCCCCACCACACCCGGTCCGATAGCTTCACACTGGATACGCCCTTCCTCGAAGGGACCCTGTGTGCCCCTCTAAGTCCACCTGGGAGCGCTCCTCCCTGTTTCCTTCCCTTTCCCTCCTCTTATTCTTCCTAGATCCCAGTGGTCCTCCCTCCTCTACACAGGATGTGGCCAGGAGCTGGGCTTCGGGGAGGGCAGGTGTACACCCCTGCAAGCCCAGGCAGGGGACATGCCTGTGGCAGTAGTTGAGTATTTCTTAACCATTAATATGAATAAGTGGTGCTGGTGCTTTTAATGTGTCACCGACAAAGTTTGTGAGTGCTGTGTCCCTAACGCCACTTCCCCATAAACCCTGTGGTTTTTATTGTGTGATTTTACCCAGCATAGCAATTTTTAGGAGAAGATATGTGGCGTTACAGCAGAGCTGAGTACATGTGGGAAAGTCAGCGACAGGTGAACGGCATTCTCTGTGTGCTGTGTGGACCACCTCCTCCATCTCACAGCGGCCCCTGAGGTGGGTCACATTATATTCCCCTCCAGACAGATGAGACGTGATGTTTCCAAGCTCACACAGCCTGGAGCCTTCTAACCTTCACTGGCACAGAGCAAGCAGAGGTGCTGGGGTGGATGAGGTCCCGGGGGTGTGGGAATGCTCAGAGCTGCCTGTGTTCCAGGAGCCACAGAGATTCTGGAACTAGCTGCTGTCCCTGAGGGCGGCAGGGACCTGACCCCTCTGACTTACTCCTGGAGTGAGGCGGTAGCCTGGGGCCACTCCCAGGCTTTGTCGCAGGTTAGAGGGAACCCCTGCCAAGTGGGCTGTCATTTCCAGTCTGCTCCCTGTGGGCAGCTGTGTGAGGATGAACTCTCCTCAGCCCAGCAGCACCCAGAGCTGAGCCTCAGCAAGAATTTGAGGGAAGAAAATCTACTGCCAAAGAGGGCACTGCTGCCCCTAAGAGGGGAGTAGAGGGCGTTTCTGGGAGGCGGCCCAGCCAGAGGTTGAAGGGCGAGGGCAGGGAGCCAGGGGAGACAAAGGCCTCGTCTGACCTAAGAAACACTCGCCTAAAAGCTGGAAAGCCAGGCACAGTGGCTCCCACCTACAATCCAGTTACATGGGAGGCTGAGGTGGGTAACTTGCCTGAGCCCAGGAGTTCAAGGCCAGCTGGGCAAGACAGGGAGACTCCACCTCTTAAAAAAAAAAATGCTGGAAACCACCGTCCCTAGTACTCCACTCATAAACCAAACATTTGCCAGGCACCGGCCAGGGCCAGGACGGCGCCACATCTGTACCCTGCGATGGGGCTGGACGTCGCAGGGCTGCCACCCAAGCCCACCCTGCCTGTCCCCAGGACCCCACTCACCACATCCACTGTGCTGAACACATGGCAATAGTGGTGGCTGGTCTGCAGGTCCTTGGTGATGTAGGCGAAGGTACAGAGGTCCTCTGGGTCCTGGGCGGCACAGGAAATGTTCCGGATCTCGTGCTCTGCGATGACGTTCTGTTGGGGAAAGCCGTGTTCTGGAATTCTCAGGCTCACATGCATCTGGCACCCCCCGCCCCAGCCTTTTGCCATTGTCACTGTTTTCCCTCCCAGCCTGCAGTGTCGGCCAAACTCCCTCTTCTCATTTTGTTTTCTGGTGGGGGTGGGGGATGGTGTCTAACCTTGCACAATTTCGGTTTGGGGTCTCCACCCTTGACCACAGCAACTAAGACAGTAAAATGTTCACACCCAACCACGAGCTCTCCCCAGCCTCTCCCACCTCCCAGGGTGGGGGCAAAGTGGGAAGGGTGTCAAGAAGGTGGGATTCCACACAGTGGTGCACAGGGGGAGTCCTTTGCTCACAGACGGAATCGGACCTGTGAAGACCTGTGAGCAGGAGCGTGACCAGCAGAGCCCAGGTGGAGAGGCTAAGAGCCGTTATCACTAGGGTGGGGGGGACGGGGCTGACAGCAGGCACCCAGGCCAGCAGATGAGAAACATGCCTCTTGGCGAGGTGGTGAAGTAGGAAGTAATAAAAGAGGGCTGGGGACCCTCTAGAGAGATAAGGGATGAGAGAAGGCAGCTGGGTTGCTTGCCCTGGAGCCCTGTGGCTCTAATGGGGACACGGGTCCCACTCCTGCCAAGAGTCCCTGTAAGCAGCACACCTTGTTGGAGGCATCGATGAACTTGACACCTTTGTATGTGATGGACAGGATAATGGTGGGGATCTTCTTCATGTGTTCGGTGGATTTCTACAGGAAACAAGAGGGGGCCCTATCAATGCCCCTTCTCAGGGCTAAGCCTCCTGGGATTCCATAGGTCCCAGCTTCCCTCCCGTCCTTACGTAGCATGGCAGGGCGTAGCCAACTGCAGCTGCTACCCCCATTGCTACCTTCTGTCCTGGCCAGTCCCACGGCACCCTTCAGCCCACACAGACAGCCCCCTGCCCGCAGATGCCCCCTGACCCAGCACAGGCACACCCGGCCCTGTGCAGGTACCCCTCGCCCCACACAGGCACTCCCCACCCTGCATAGTCACCCTCCACCCTGCAGACAACGCCTCACCCTACACAGGTACCCCCTACCCCGCTGACACCACCCCAGCCCACACAGGCAACGCCCCACCCTGCACAGACACTCCCACTCCGCAAAGACACCCTCCCACCCCACACAACCTCTTGCCCACCCCACATAGGCACCCTACCCGCATCTTGGCACAGGCATCCTGTGTGGATTCTGTCCCTCGAAGATCTTTGATCAGCATGGAGCCCAGGTACTGTGGGGGCGAGCAGTGGCTAGGCTTAGGAAGTCCTGCGTTTCTATGCAGGGGTGACCCAACCAATTTGGGACTGTCCCACAATCAAGTGGTTACCCCTCCCAACCCCTCTCCTGCCCCAGCTGGAAAGGCCCTCCATTCAACTCTCTGGCTAAAGGACCAGATGCCTCCACCCCTCCCCCTTAGCTGCCAAGAGTGGCTGAAGAGTGGAGAACAGTGCTCGACCTAGGCCTGGCTTTGTGGAGTCTCGGCTGGGACTCAGGGCCGCAGGTGCAGGTGCCTGGCTGAGAAGGGGCAGGGAGCAGGGAGGCTGGCCCTCCTGGGAGGGCGGAGGGCAGGAGCAACTCACATTGGCTTCATAACCGCAGGACTCGAAGATGAGTTTCTCTGGCTGGTGTTGCCAACTCTGCACTGGGGCGTAGGGGGCTGCCAGGCTGGGGGGCCGCAGGGTCAGCTTGGCCTCGCGGTGTTCCTCCTGCAGAACGTACACAGTCAGACACCTGCTCCTTGTTCCAGAGGAATGCACAGGCTCACTGCCTGGCTCCAGCACACCCAAGGGGGAAGATGCCAGTGACCTTGGCTAGTTCAAGGGTCAAGTGGAGGGGGCAAGGGGAGACCAGCAATTCACACATACTGCGGGGGTGGGGAGGTGCAAGCGACAGCAGAGGCGCAGCAGGGACCCAGACCGCCTGAGAACAGATGAGTCTCAAAGGAGATGGGAAATGACCAGAAAGGAGATGGCAGAGCCTGCGGGGGGCACAGGCTGCCGTCTGCACAAAGACCAAAGGGGAGAGCAGCAGCCACGAGACTCTGGGATGCCTTGGGGCCCAGTCCAGGGCCTGGGAGGGATCCTCACAGCTGGGAAGCCAGTGAAGCTCCCATGCCTAGGAATGCATTTCATATGGATCCCTCGGGCAGCAGCTGGGGGATGGGGGAGGCCACTGTGGTCCAGGTGAGAGATGATGCGTCCCTATCCGGGCATCCGGGTGCTGGTGGAAGGAATGGAGAGGAAGGAAAAGATTCAGGAAACACGAAGTGTTTCCCAGTAGTGCGCAAAAAGCCTCTCAATGGCAACTGGAACCGCTGGACGATGTGTTTTAAAATCCTTTAAAATTCCCGGCTGTGCCTGTGGAAAGGGAAGGAAAGTGCCCGGGGCCAAAGTGAGAAGTGAGAGTCAGAGAAACAGGCAGGGGTGAAACTGAAGTTCCCACGGAGGGACCTGACGGACACCTGCCAATCCTCTGTCTGACAGGCCAAGAAGACAAGGACAAACCCAGGGTCTGTACAAGGCGGGAGGCAGGACAGGAAGGTCTTGAGTACATCCAGGCCCCCTGGAAACGATGCCCTGAGAGGGTGAGCCAGGAAGGTGGGATGGGCCCATCTCGGCCAGGGCTAGGGCAGGCACCGGGAGCGGAGGTGGCGTCTCCAGCGGTGCCCCCCACGGGGCTGCAGGCAGAGAACGGGAAGAACAGTCTGATCTGGCTGTGGTTTTGCTGGGCAGGAGGAAGACAACGCTGTGGAGGTGAGGCCGCAGACAAAGCAGTTCTGGGAACAGCTTGGGCAAGCAGGGAAGGAAGGGGCCAAGAAGGCGCTCAGAGAGGCCAGGAGAGAGTGGAGGGCTCTGGGGCCAGCAGGGGCCTGCAGTGCAGGACACAGGACGCTACAGAGGACGGGGGATCTGAAGCTAAGGGAGGGAAATGCAAGCCATGCAGGCCGTAGGAGTGGCCCTGGCAGCCAACAGCTGAAGTGAGTTTTGCACCAGAGCTCGGCGCCATGGGGGCAGGGTGGGCCTTACACAAGGCAGCGGGGTGGGGGCAAGCAGAGCAGGCTGGTGCTCCTGACCTTGATGCCAGCCCAACTGTGCTCAGGTATGGGGCAGCAGGTGGTTCTGCGAGGCCCTGTCCTGCCCAGAGGGATGAAGCGGACCCTGGCCGCAGCTCCCCCCACCTGCCCCCCACCCCATGCCCACCTGGATCCTGAAGCGCTCTGCTCGGGAGGGTGCCGCAGGGTCATGGAGACTGTCATGACGCCTTCTGCCTGTGTCCCCTGGAGGTAGCAGCAGGTCTGCCGACCGCCCGGTGCAAGAATCATTCTGGCTCAGCGGGGATGACGTCTGGGAGAGCAAATCTTGGCACTGTGGAGGTAGAAATCCAGGTGGAACTTGCAACCCTTGGCCCAGTGCCTGGCTACAGGTGTCAGCCGGCCCCCTGGTTAGGATGGTGTGGGCAGCCGCACCGGGAGAAGCAACAGGGACTGGACGAAGAGGCCAACACCATGGGGGTGTCAGGCAGCCACCGCCCACCAGTGCCCCCAGAGAGGGCAGGGAAGCTGCTTTTGCACTTCTAAAAGATTAAATCTTCTGTCCTGATCCACTGCAGGCCTCTGCACATGACCAGAGCATCCTCCTGAGAAAAAATTCAGCTCTGCCAGCTCTAAAGGCCACTGTCCCCCACAGAATACAAACCAGGCTCCTCAGTGTTTACATTTGAATGTCAGTTGTGTGTTTGGTTCCCAGAGCAAGGCTGGACCTCCACTTTCTCATCTGTCAGAGGAGGATGAATAGGACCCACCTCACCAAGCCCCTGAGGGTTCAATGGGGTGAGCCCTGCTGGGGCAGGCCCAGTGCTCAGGGCTCCGGGAGTGGCTGCTCCATTGCTGCATATTTTGGCCTGGGGCTGGGGGAGAGCTCTCCCTCAGCTGCAGACTCTGAGTCTAGCCCATTTCTGCAGTAAGGAATTACTGGCAGGAGCAACGGATCATGGGTGAGGTTTTTAAAATGCAGGCTGTCTTCGTCACCCTAGCCTGGGAATTCGAACTCAGATGTTGGGGGTGCCCAGAAGGCTGTGAGTCCCGGCCTTTTAAATTCCAGGCTGTCTCAGGTGTCATGCCACCCGGCCCCTCCCTGTCCCCAGGCACAGAGCCAAGTTCAATGCCCAGGCACAGCCAGCTGTTTTCCTACTATACCCCCAATTTTAAGTGTTTGATCGGCCATCCCCAAATAGAAATGGGTGGTGGAGAACTTCTCTAAAGCTCCTCTCCTGTTGGAACTGCTTTCTCCTACACAACAGTGGTCTCTGAAGAATCCTAAAGATTTCTATGGAATTCCTGCAAATACCGAGGAGAAACATACATTCCTTCCTGTTCCTCCCTGACTCACCCTCAGCTGGGAGAACCTGGGGGGCTTCTGCGGTGGCTCTTCGTACGGCCTGTCTGCGAGGGAGGCGATGATGCGCTTGCGATGGCCGAGCAGCTGGACCTTCAGGACCTGCGTGATAAGGAGCGAGGAGGGTCAGGTGGCCCACTTGCCCACAGTCCACTCCAGCCCCCAGCGCTCACCAGCTGGGCCAGGCTGCCCCCAAGGGAAGCTCAGGCTTCTGGAGGGTCCAGGCTGGGCCATGCAGGGACTACTCACGTTGACGAGCTCCAGCTCCCAGAGGTTCTTCACGGTGTCAATGGAGCTGTAACCACTTGACAGGAAGGAATGGACGTAGTCCTGCAGCCCCAGGGAGTCCAGCCAGGAGGGCACCGAAGGGGGGCTGTTCCCGTCATAGCCCAAAGCTTTCACCTACAGGGCCAGGAGGGAGGTGAAACTGACATCTCAGCAGTCACAGGAGAGGGACCCAAGCGCCATGGACCCAGGCCAGCTCACACAGACTGTGGCCAAGAGGGCCCTGCGTGCCTGGGGTCCTCAGCACATCTGAGTGCCTCTCCTTGTACAGCCCTCCCTATCACTGGCTGGTCTCCGCTTCCCCACGGGGAAGGCAGTAGCCACTGGAGCTCTGACAGCGTGGGAAGATGACCCTAGCAGGTGAGCGGAGGTGGGGAGGAGGGTCTGCAGAACGCCTCCGCCCTGAGCTCTGCTGAGGTCATGGGCTGGCGGGACAAAAATTGTGTGTGCCCACGGAGCAGGCACCTCCCAAACTCTGGGCAGGTAGAAGGGACGGGGCCACTGGACTGAGCACCAGCACAGGTGCAGGGGAGAGGCTCGGGCCCACTAGCTCCCGGCTCCCCAGGGAAGATGGTACCTCCCTCAAGCCCACCTGGGGAGCAGCCCAGTGTGAGCTGGTCTGGGCTCCAGGGAGCCAGGAGAGACCCTGAAGGGGGCTCTGGGTGAAAGGCCAAGGCAGTGGGTAGCAGGCTCCCAAGCAGGGCAGACCACCAACCTCCTCATGACCCGAGGAGCCGCTCCCTGCCCGAGGGCTCTCCTGGCTCTCCAAGGGCCTGGGGCGGACTGAGGAAGCAAACAGGTTTGTGTGGCCCCTCAGGAGCTCCCAGGGTGAGGGGTGGAGGCCCCACGTGGTGTGCGTTTGCCGAGCCCTGCTCCTCCCGCTCTTGGTACAGGTGGTGCTAGGGAGGTGGCCCTGGCTCCACACGGCTGAGGCTACGGGGCTGGCGACGGTCACCTTGGGCAGGGAGCGTGCGGCCTGGAGCAGCTTCCGCCGGTGCTGTGGGTCGCTGATGCCAATGTCCCGCAGGTCCTGCTCTTCCATCACGTTAGACCCCTGAGAGCAGAAAGGTGGACTTCAGGGCCCCTCTTGGATGGATGGATGGTGGCCCTCAGGGGGTCAGGTGGGCCTTTCAGGGCCCCGCACCAAATTCTCCTTCACTGCAGGTACCAAGAGGGCGTGGGGACAAATCTGCCCAGATGGCCCACGGCCACCCAGGCAGCTCCCAGGGGACCTGGGGACTCCAGAATATGCACAGAATATATAGAGTGCTGAGGCTGGCCAGGGCACACAAGGGTGGGGGCGCTGCCTACCCAGGCCCCACCTCGAGCCCCAGGCTCCTGAGTGTGTGTGTATTTTTCTGTGGAGCAGGTTCTGGTGGGCTCATCTCAAGGTTCCTCGTAGGCAGGATTTTATAATTCTGAGGCTACAACAACCACCTCAGGAGGGCAGCGGGTGACAGAGGTGGGTACCCAAGGAGCCAGTCTCACCCCAAGGAGGAGAGGAGCCTTCAAGGGGGAGACTGTCAGAGAAGAGTGTCCTTGTCCCAGAGAGAAGGTGGGTCAGAGCTGAGCCCAGTTTGTACTGCTCCCTGCAACCTCCACTGGCCTCAATGGAGCAGCTGAGGGTGGAGAGGCGCAGGGAGCGCCCACCACAGCACTAAGAGGGGCAAGCGGATGTGAGGCTGGAGGCTGGCACTCCTGCTTTCTTGCTACGTGGCAGAGCCGAGAACTTTTACCTGGCGCGTCCCATTCTATGCTCACGACCTGCATGTGAGGGTCTCTGTTAATCCTGTTCATCTGTTTTAACAGACGAGGAAACTGAGGCACACAGAGGTCAGACATTTCTTAACACCACATATCTAGTGGTGGAGCCAGGCAGCCTGACTCTCCTCCATGCTCCTGGCCCCTGCGAGGATGTCTCTAATTACTCATAGTAGTCACAAGATAGTGTGAGCAGATTCAATCTTAAAATACACACTATGTATGGCCTATGATACAAAATTCACAGGTCCCGCCCATCCCTCAGCTGTGGGGCCCCTCACAGTTGTAGATGCTGCCACTTCCTGGGTGTTCCCAGAGCCTGGCTGGGCACAGACGGGCACAAGCCTGCACACTGCATTTTCACACAAACGCCATTCTCTCGCACACACTCGGTGCCTGTTCTTATCACTGAAAACACACAGGAGGCTGTTCCGCAGCAGTGCACGTGGGCCAGCCTCCTTTGGACAAGCTGCATCATCTAGGTTAGGCATATGCTATCATTTATTCAGCCAGTTCCCCGTTGAAGGACATTTGTTTCAACTTCAGCTACTGCACACGGGGCTGCATGAATACCCGCCCCCGTGTGTGGCATGTCTAGGCCTGTTAGGAGGAAGGGCTTCTGCTGGCTTGAAGGGTGTGTGCATTTGACAGTGACGGCTCTTTCTGCTCCTCTTAGTGAAGCCACTGCTAGATCCCCCACACCGTCAGCAACACAATGGGGCAAGAGTCTATCACTGCAGTTTCTATTTGCACATTTCTTATCAGAGTAGGATCACTCATCCAGAGGTGAGGCTGAGCGTCTTTCCACGTTTTGTCTATCCAGCATTTCCAAAGCACTCCCTCCCCTACTCCATACTGGACCTGCCCAAGCCATTTAGTCATAGGGATGACTGTTATTCCCACCCTACAGCTGAGGAAGCTAAGGCCCACAGAGCTCTGGTGACTTGCCGAGGTCACATGGTAAGTGCATCTGGAGCCAGATTCAGCCCAACGTGCTTGTCCACATGGCTCTGCTGCCGCACACTTGGGACACCCAGAGCTCCTTTTCCAGGAGTTAACTTGCTTATAGACTTGGACAGTTTTTCTATGAGGTTGTCAGTCTTTTCTGCATAGATATGTAGGAATTCTTTACATAGTAAGAAATCTGGCCCAGTGCGATGGTGCACGCCTGTAACCCCAACACTTTCGGAGTCCAAGGTAAGGTGGGAGGAGCACTTGAGCCCAGGAATTTGAGACCAGCGTAGTGAGACTCTGTTTCTACAAAAATCAAAAGATTAGCCAGGAATGGTGGTGTGTACCTGTGGTCTCAGCTACTCGGAGGCTGAGGTGGGAGGATCACTTGGGCCCAAAAGGTCAAGGCTACAGTGAGCTGCAGTTGCACCACTTCACTCCAGCCTGGGCGACAGAGTGAGACCCTGTCACCAAACAAAACAACCTGTGTGTGTGTGCAAGTGTGTGTGTGTGTGTGTGTGTGTGTGTGTGTGTGTGTACATACAACAGATAAGTTAACCTTTTATCTAAGAAATGAGTTAGATAATTGTTTTCTAGTTTGCTGTTTATCTTTTGGCTTTTATGCTGGATTTGCTCATGAGAAATTTATTTTTTGTACCCAACTTTTCTTGTAGAGCTTCTCCGCTCTGTCAGGGCTTAAAAAGATCTTGCCTTTCCAAGATTATGTTTTACATTCTTTTATATATATTTTTTCCTATAATTTAACAGTTTCCTTTTTTACAGCTAAATCTGTAATCCATCTGGAAATTCGTTTTTTTTTTGGAAACGGAGTCTTGCTCTGTCACCCAGGCTGGAGTGCAGTGGCAAGCTCTCAGCTCACTGCAACCTCTGCCTCCCAGGTTTGAGCAATTCTCCCGCCTCAGCCTCCCAAGTAGCTGGGACTACAGGCACATGCCACTACACCTGGCTAAGTTTTTGCATTTTTAGTAGAGACGGGGTTTCACCCTGTTAGCCAGGATGGTCTCCATCTCCCGACCTCGTGATTTGCCTGCCTCGGCCTCCCAAAGTGCTGGGATTACAGGCATGGGCCCCCGCACCCAGCCCCCATCTGGAAATTCTTTTGATGTAAGGTGTAAAGTCAAGATCCAGCCTTACTTTTTTCCTGGCAGCAGGCTGTCCATTTCTTGGTGAGTGATCTTTTTCCCCAGTCTGGAATGGCCTTGATGGTATCCGAAATTCCTGTGTATTTCTTGGCCTCTCTGGACTTTCACTCTGTTGTGGTGGGCACTACTTTACACTTGGAAAAGCTAAGTGACTTGGGCCAGTTCATGCAGACCCCTGCTGACCTGCTGGCCCCCACTCCGTGTGGTGACTGCTGACCATGGGAGTCTCCCCAGAGCCTGTGTTTGGTGACATAAACTCTGTCCCACAGAGGACACTGCCAGCCTTAAGCTCCAGCAAGCCCAGGTGATGAGAGCCCTGAAGCCAGGCTGGAAGCCCCCATTCTGCTCCGGCTGCAGAGCACACCCCATGCTGGCACCACTCCAGGTCTGAGGCCAGCCGAGTCATCCCCAAATCTGAGAGTCACCACACAGTTGCCACAGTTGCTCTGGGACCAAATCTAACATCTGCTGTTGTGGAAAGGCAGAGAGAGGCAGCTGCCTTCCCAGATTTTTTTTTTTTTTTAAGTAGAGTGCAGTGGTATGATGATGGCTCACTGCAACCTTAACCTCCTGGGCTCCAGTGATCCTCCTGCCTCAGCCTCTTAAGTAGCTGGGACCATAGGCATGCACCACCATGTTCGGCTATTTTTTATTTTTTTAGAGATGGGGGTCTTACTATGTTGCCCAAGCTGGTCCTGAACTCCTGAGCTCAAGTAATCCTCCTGCCTTGACCTCCCAAAGTGTTGGAATTACAGGTGTCCACCACCATGCCTGGATCCAGCCCAGACTTTCTACCTGATGATGAGGATACCAAAGCGAAGAGCTGAGCTGAGCCTGCCTCAAACCTCCAAGAGGATGTGAATGTCCAAGAGTGACTGCAGCACTGCAGTAAAGTTCTGAACGCCTGCTCATCCCAGCATTGACTCCAACACCTTCACCAGCTTTCAGGGCACCTGAAGGCTGACAGCCAGGAAGCCAGATCCACTGGAGACCGGCCCCTTGCTAACCAGACGTCAGTCAACAGAAGTGCGGGCTGTGTGCAGCTTTGAGGGAAAGAGATGAATGGAAACACAACAAAAATTAAGGAAATGACAGAAAAGCAAAGCAAACCGTTGCCAGAGCCCATTCTGCGCGCAGTGCGGGGTCCTTCAGTTCCTGAAGCAGCCACATCTCCGCAATGGGAATGAGCTTGTGCCGTGACCACCCAGTGCCACAAATCCTCAAAGGGCAAGAAACGCTTCTGGAAGTTCCCACACCCTCTTTACTCAGGGAGAAGGGGACCACTGGCTTTTAGAAACCTCTTCATGAGAAGGGTCATGGGGAGAGACTTTCTGCTGTACCTGCTGCCACACCAACAATTGCTGAGTGCTTACTACATGGCGGGACGCTTCTATAATCAGGAAGCGAATACAGTAAAACAGTTCAGTGCACTAACGGGGATTGTCTCAGCTTTAAGAAAAGCTTCACAACTCCGAGTGACATCTGAAACACACAGCTGGTCTTCCAGCCTGGCCTGCTTTAGGTCCAGTCCCCGAGGAAGAGGGGACAGGAGGGTTCCCGGCAGCTGAGTCGGGACAGGGCACTGATCTTCGCCTGCGACCTGGGCCTCTCCCTGTCCTGACTCCCTCACAGACTTCACATTGCCGGCAGGTGTCCGACTGCTCCCAGCTTTGCAAAGGAGAAAGTGCCCCCATGGAGGAGGCAGAGCCAGGATGGCCCCTGGCGGCCTGGCTCCTCAGCCTGTGATCATGGCCATGGCCTGCTTTCGAGAACTCAAGGGAAAGGGGCAGCAAGAAGTGGTTCCCTGGGTCACTGAGCTCTGGGCATGACAAGAATTCCCTGGGCACCCTCTGCCGGGCTTTGTGAGGAGCTGACGTGTGGCCTGTCCTGGGCTCACCGTGAAGATACAGGCCAGCAATACTGAGTCCTGACCACGGTCCAGCACTGTGCTGGGGGCTTCATACTCATCACCTGCAAAAATTCGCCCAACAAACCTTTCAGATAGGAGCAGCTCACCTTACACAGAAAGAAACAGGCTTGGAGAGCAGACTGGACTTATCCAAGGCCACAGTACTAGTGCCCGGCAAAGGGACTGCTCAGGCCCCATCTGACCAACCCCAGTTGTCTTCCTAGGCTTTTCCTGCTGGGGCAGGTGGAGTCTGCTGAAGATAAAAGTGAA